ATTCATGACGCATGCGTAATACACGGTGGTTTCCATCTTATTTTCCGTTATCCCAATATAACATGTATATATATATATGCCCTACATAACCCTAAACACTAATCCATGTAAAGTAACGTTAAGACTATTTTCTGGGGTTATACTGAGGAATGAAAAGAAAAATGGAAACTATTGTTTATGGGTTAGGGCTTACAATATCCTTGAGGTTACCCTAAAATCTCCTCTTAATCCCCCCAAAAAAACCTAGGATCCAAAAAAGGGTGAGTGCCGCTACTTTGAGAAATCCAAAGTCTCAACCCCTAGTCACTGAAACCTAAGCCCGATATGTCCCTGTTGCAGCTTCAAACGCTAATCCATGTTTAGAAACACCCATTGAACTCCGAAAACCCATCCCTCTTTTTAACTTGCTGGTGCTTAAGGCGGAGTGGGGGAAATGGATCCGTATTCCCTGCTTTCACATCAACAATTTCATTGACTGCGTTCATTCCACTAGTGCTCATAACGGTCACCTAGAGCAACTTGTTGGAAGCTTGTGGTCACCAAGTTATAAAACACAAACCTAGCCTTAAGCAAAAGTAAGCACAGGTACCCCATATGAGCCATTGTCTAAACTCCTAGTTTCCCCCTTCATAACCTCTATAATACTCCTCTATATAATCCCCTATATACCCCCCATTCACGAGTTTTGACTACAGCTCAGATGCTTCGCAACACGGCACCGACTGCCTGCCGGGTCCCAAGCAAGTCTCGGCTCTGTTCCCGGAGTTCCCGGGTCATCCAGGCCCTACCAGCGCAAAGCTGAACGCAAAGGTTGTGTAGTAAAGAAAGTCAGTAAGGCTATATACTGTATGTGTATATCTGTGTATATAGACATGTAGATGTACGAAAACATCATATACATGATTATATATGTACATGTTAAAATTCCTCCACTCTTCTTCTACTGGCCATTCTCTCTCTCTCTCGCCTCTATATATTCAGGCAGAGCAACAGCTAGGAATCCTTGCTGTCCCAAGACTCACTGGTGGTTAATAGAGAAGAAGAGAATAGAGGCCCTATTTAACATATCCCTTATTTCCCTTCTGATTCCCAGTTCTGAAGGCTCTGGCCTGCAAGGCCAAACGCAGCAAACCATGAAGCCCGCAAGACCATATAGTCCAGGCAGCCTAGCATGCGGTTAAGGGTTTAAGGTTTTAGCACTTAGGGCTTAGGGATATTAACCCCTTAATAGCCAAGCACATGTTGATCCGATTACAAAGGAACCTACAACTGCGACTAGTATGATCAAGCAATTGGCTACCTTCACACCTCGGTCTGATTCTCTAAGCACACATGCCTCTGTTAGCACTACAACTTGCTTCTCTGAAAGTAGACTTCTGTTGGCGAGCTGCGCAGCTTCTGACACAGCCAAGGCCAGCAGGCACACAGGAGCAACAAGGGAATAAAGGGACTATATAGGGGTAATATAGGGAATCAGGGAATATATTACACATTGCCTGCGGCAGATCTGCGCAGCTGCACGCCGGACAGCTTCCATGATGTAGTCTGCTGTTGGATGGTTTCTTATAGTACAGTATGATATATTATAGTATATTATGGTGTTCTTATTAGAGTACATTATGGTGAAGGTGAAGAAATCCATGTCTCGGGACTTTCCAGTTCTGTTGGTAACTTGGCATCTATGAGAAAAGCCTTCCGGCACACCCACCGCTAGAGCTGTGCTTGAAAGCATCCGGTGCACCATTCTGCCTCTGAAATTTGTGGAAATTTCCTCCAGAGTGTCTGTTCTATGATAGTATATTACGGTAATATTGGGATAATGAAAAAGAAAATGGAAACTACTATAGTATGTTGGGGTAATGTTGGGATTTGTTGCGAGTCACGCGCTAAGTCTGCAAGGTCCTGAGCATCGTGCACGGCATTTTTGGCAAGCTGATTGGCAGGCATTCCAACGTAGAATGAATACGGTCGTACGACTTTCCGGGTCCACGTGTCAGCGAGCCCTGTATTGAGAATAAGTTAAATACTGTATCAGAAAATGAGAGTAACTAACCTGACCTGTGCTTCGGAGAATGTAGGAATTCAGTGCAGAATTTCAGTTTACAATCCATGCCACTGTCTGGATTTGTTTGTTTAGACGGCTTCCCCAGGCAAGCTAAATACCAAAGTAAAATTGTGAGGTATGAGCATTACTTTTGTTCGAATATAGATTGTTGCAGTCTGCTTTGTTGTGCATGATGCCTTCTTTTATTGTACGTGGAGGACGTCGCTTCCTTCTAGGGTAGAGTCCGAAGCTCTGCATAGTTGTTGACGAGTGCTGCCTATCGTGCGTCTTTTGCACGCGCAAGACCGATTGAAGGTGCTCAGTTCCAAAGTTGCAACCTGTGTTATGCATCTGCTTCGAAGAAGCGTGAGCATTAGTTTCGAACCGCCTCTGTAGCAGCAGGAGCGCTGGGGACCGAAATGTGGCACAGAAGGGAACCAATTCCAGGGACAGAAACGCATCACATTCTTTATCTATGATTCTGTTCAAACATGGTGAGAAGCGGCTCTTCTGGTGCACAACCTCTCTTTTTTTCCGCACGCTTTATGCATCCACCTTCTCCCCAGCCGCGACTTCGGCCTCCAGACACCAACAGATGATAATGGAAGTGCTACAGGCCATGCTAGAACCACGAGTTCGCGATCTAGCGCAGATCCGACCGTCTACTTTTTGTGGAGAATGGTCTACAAGCACATGCGCAGAAGCCACTTTACTACATGTCGGAAGCAGTGGTCCTATAAGGGGTTTCACATGACAAAGCACGCTTCGACCGGCCAACACAGCCTCCTGCTTTGCAGCGGCGAGAGTGGCATCTGGGTCCTGGAGAAGCTGCCTGGCTGCCCATAAGCTTGGGCTTGTGCGTGCCCTTATGATCTGCAACGCGCCACGGCTCCTTTCAGTCAACAAGCGTAACTAGAAAAGGTGGCGGTCGCCATATTTTTATGTTCCCGACATCACTACTGCTTTGGTCCGTGTGATTTTCAAACAGGTGGGCGTTGGCACGGATTCTATGCAGTAGCAAGAAAAGATTTCAGGGTTGGGTGTTACAATGCATGTACGGGGCCACTGCGCTGATACCATTCAACTCCCAGCGCCTCGACTTCAGTCCCTCATTTTGCTACATGCATGCCTTTGTGCGCATTAGTGCAAGCTCTGCAAGGAGCTGGGCTTTGGAGCATCTAACTTGCCGGGTTGACTGCATGTAGTCGACAAGCTCTCTCTGAGCCTTGCAAACAACGTCCATCAAGCTGAAGATTTCCCACATGTCATCATCACATGATTCACTATTAGAATATTACAATACTACTTTAATATTATAGTATTGGAATATGACAAAATTAGAATATTACAATATTAACATATCATAATATCATATATCATTATATCATAATAGTACATTATCTTTGTATTTGACTATTTGACTATTATATCTTAAGCATGTGGATTTCCCACACCCCTACGGGAGCTGTTTTGACCAAGGAGCTGGAGGCAGCTGCTCGGCCGAGGCCTTCATCTCCTGCAACCTCGGAGAGACTTGTAGTCCCCCTTAAGTAGATAGAATATAGGTTTGATATAGGGTATATATTGGGGCTATATAGGGTAGATATAGAGGTTATATAGGGTAGATATAGGGGTTATACAGGGTATATGTTGGGGCTATATAGGGTATAGGTTGGGGTTATATAGGGTATATATTATTGTTATATGGGGATAATGGAAAAGAACATGGAAACTACCACAATGGGTTTATAGAGGGAATATAGGGTATAGAATATGGGGTATATGGGGATCTTACTATAATATACCCAAAGCCATATTCTATCTACTTAAGGGGGACTATACAGGTTTGCTTGCAGCCAAAAGCCCTTCAAACGCCTTCAATCCATTCTCATCGTGTATCTGTGTGCGTGGCATAATCTCCACGTTGATTCCCATCATGGCATAGGTCTCCTGAGGAGGATAAGATGATCATGGAGAACCCTGGTCCATGGAGGGCAAAAGTCAGCAATGCCGACCCTACATGCGCGCTTTGAAAAACCTGTCGGAATAGTTCCCAAGCACGCATCCTTCATCTTCTGTACATCCTCGCGTGTCCAGCCTGGCAGACAAGCTGTAGAAATTGAAAGATCAAACTTCTCATGTGACACCGATGCCCCACCATCAGTAGCATAGAGGATTACAAGAAAGTGAACGCTCCTGCAGCTGTAGCACCTAAGCCAGCACAGAAAATACTGCCCGAAAGGAAGTTCTGCAGAGGCCAGCAACTGTCAGTGTTTTTTTTTACATGCGCATGTAAAAACCCTCCCACGATTGAGCGTTCTTGCTGCGCTGCCGTCTTCAGCGTGCCTTGCTCTTGCGAGGCAGCCTGCAAGCAGAGCTGGATTTGCAACCGGACATCTGATGCCTTTCCTAGGACTACAAGGCCGGTGACAGCCATCAAACTTGTAACTTGGAAGGGCCTTCAGCTCCTTCAAGAAGAGCTCAGGGCGATCGGAGAAGGCCGCCAGAGCTGCGGAGGAAGTGTGCAAAATGAGCTTGCAGGATACCAGTATGAGGGTTTAGGACAAGGGTTGACTGACAGAAGCATGACCACCTTTAGATGCTCGAATCCCAAAACGGGCTCAGAGCTACAGTAGCTTTAGACGGAGCGGCCAGCTTCGCACTTGGGACCCGTCACCTGCAAAAATTAAATCACTTGCGATTATCAAATACCATCAATTGCGGCCAACCGCCGCATCAATTGTGGCTTAGCCCCTCCTGGATGCTTCCCAGAAGGCCGCTTGTTCAAGAGGCATGCCGACTGATGCGAATCATGCAAGAGCAGGCTTTCACCAAAAAGTAGGTGGCGATTTGGCCCCCTTAAACTGCAGGGCGAAACAAGTCACGAGCAATAACGTGTGAAAAATGCCAAGTCATATGTGCTCTGAACGACTGCAGGTGGGTCTCCAAGGATGCTCCATGAATTTCCCACCAAACAGCTTGAGAACGCGTAAGGCTCGGACTCTGCATGAAGTTTGGATCCTGCTGCGCACCCTCGAAGAGCTTCTGAGCCTGGCAGTGCCATCCTCAATTGCTTAATTAATGAGCCACATGGGACTTTCTCAAAACTAGGAGCCCTTAGGGGGCCCTTCGTATCGGTTCTCGCGGGCTCACATCCCGAACCCTAGAAACCTATGGGATGATCAGGGGACTGCCGGGTCCATGTAAAGAACTCTATGCGCATGGTTTAAACACTCTCCTGCAAGCTTGGACGCTCAGAGGTGGGTCAGACCTGCCCTTTCGCAACTACATTCCTGAAGCTCCGGAAGCCCTGGGCGGTCGTCCCTCTTGCAACCTCCCTGAGGTCTCTTGAGCAACCTCTCTTGTGCCACATGGCGATGGAGAGGGCTAGCAGTGCACAGGAGGGGCTTGAATCACTTGTCCGAACATATTGCAATGTTTTTCTGCCCTCTAGGCTTTGCTACCTTTTTCTCCTGAAGGACAAGTCGCTCTGCTATGCTCTGCTCTTGTTTTGTCAACGTAGGTCACCCTTGACTAAACTTGCCTCGCGCTGTCGCTCTTCGAAGAGCTCCAGTTCCTACAGGCCGTCTTGCAATAAAACAGCAAGGCATCTACGGCTGCTTCCTGGATTCCTAGGCTGCAAGCCAGAAACATGCAACAATGATTCCTGCACGCCATGGAAAACAGCTGACGCAAGCTACTAGGTGTACAACCCCACTTCCCATTCCGTTTGCCATGTTCTTTTCCGTTTGATTCTCCATAATGGGATTGCATCGCTAAACGCCATATAACCCCTATGTATCCCGGTAAAGGCTTTCATTTCATGTTCCATGCTCTTTTCTATTTTAAATTTTACGTTATCACCCAGCCAGGGGTAAGGGAGCCCTAATCCTCCATTCTAGCCCATCAAACTATAGGTAAGAGAGCCCTAATCCTCGATCATAACCCAAAAAAATACGGTTCAAGGATCCCTATTTCCCTGCTTCGCCTCAGGGCTTTGCGCCACAGGCGCTGAGGGCGCCTGGGCTTTCTGCGGCTCGGCACGGCCTTGGAGTGAGGCTGAACGCGTCTAAAGTAGTGAGCAACCTAACCAGTAACTATGTAGGGATATACGTATATATATATATACATAGAAAAACATATGTATGTATATATATATATATACACGTATGTTTAAGGCTTATGTGGGGGTTTTATGGGCTTCAGGGGGTATAATATAGCAGACTCAAATGGAAAAGAACACGGAGAATGAAATGGAAACTCTGTCGAGCGCTGAATTCCAGATCAAAATACACCATAATATACTTCAATATACTATGATACCAGATTATACTATAATTTACGATAATTTACTATAATATACTATAGAACATACTACAACAGACTATAATGATTAATACACCAGAACTTTTTGCGAGACTGGGGCCCACAAGGCCGATGTAGATCTCGCCCTCGAGCTCCTTGGCTTGCCATAAGCTGACATAAGTCATTCATAGCCCTTCAACCCTAACCCAATATAACCCAATACAACGCCAACATAACCTAAGCCCTAAACCCAAAACCCTAAATGGTGATTTCCAGTTTCTTTTCCATTATCCCAATATACTATAAACGAGTTTCCATGTCTGTTTCCATTATCCCTATATAAGCCCAATGTAACCTACTTGTTTGGCGAAGTCCTAAGTTGTCTGAAAGCTTGGGGAGAAAAACAGCAGCAAGGTTTCTAGGTTCCTGAGCGTGGCACATCCTCCAGCAATTCAAATTCACTGCAAGCCTGGCAGAATGCTTTGGCTGTCAACTGTAACCGCTGAATCCCAGGCAAATCCAGATACTGCTTTGTACGGCACTTGCGTGCTATGCAGGAGCAGGCTCTGAATGAGACTGGTGCGCAAGACATGTGAAAAGGATGCAACATCAGGCGCCACGCCCCACAATTCTAAGCAGGACGTCTTGCTTGTTTTATTTCGTGAGGTGGGCGCGAGCGATTCGAGCTCAAAGCTCCATGCAGCCCATACTCCAAACGACCCCGAACTGCGAACCACTTCGCGTGAATCACTAGCGTGAATGTCAGGCCTGCGATTTGAGCCAGAAATGGTAGTTTCCCTGAATAAAGAAATTACAGCCCTTCTTATAGGGACTCCCAAACAAGTACATCTAATTTCGGGACAAATTATCCCAAATTCCTTGTAAAACTATCTTGTTTCCCAGTATCCCTATATGACCCCAATATACTAGATAATGGTTTCCATTTTCTTTTCCATTATCTCTATATAACCCTAATATAACCCTCATATAACCCTAATGTAACCCTACTATAGCCCTAGTAGAACCCTAATATAACCCTCATATAACCCTAATATACCCCTAATTTAGCCCCAATATTCTACCTAATCTTCTAACTGGAAAAGCGCTGGCCGCTGTCGCTGGCCTGAGCCCAAACGAGCTGATCTCCGAGCATGAGGAGCCCTGCCCGCGCAAAAGTCTCCTGCTACTCGTGGCACCAGGGGTACCTTTAAGTAAGGGGGTTTATAGGGATATATAGGGATCTATAAGGATATACAGGGTTTATAGGGGATATAAAGGTTCATAGCGGATATGTAGGGTTTATAGGATTTTTTACGGATATATGCTCATGGCACGGCGCCCCCCCCTCTCACCCCCCACACCGCCCCGCTTGTGGCGTGGTTGGTCTACCTGTTTGCCGTCATGCTCGCCCTCAACCCCCTCCCCCCTGTGGTGCGGTGGTGGCCTGTCTGTCTTTGAAAAGCACGACATCATAGACCTACATCTTGAGTCCAAGGAAAGGAATCCAAGCATCAAGCAAATGGACCTCCTGCAACCCTGAAATACACGCGTGGGTAGAATACTCGGTGGGTTTCGCATGAACCTTGAGCCTGATTCTTCAGTGGGGCCAAACAGGATAAAATGGGGTGGCACCTGACTAAAAAACAGATGATTTTTTGTTTCCTTAAGCAACAAGATTTCACAGGGGAGTAAATCATGATTCTTCTTGCTGATCTCGAATTTAGCTGGACTAATGACTTAAATCATAATTCGATTTGCGCCTGTCCATGCTGGGCAGGTCCGGACGAACAGCAAATTAGATTAAACCTTTCCCCCTCCCCGTGGTCCCGTGGCCTGTGCGCTGGCTCTTGCGGCTTAACTGCAAGGTTTCATACCCATGACGGTTGCAAGGACTGCGATGAGGACCAGTGACTGTTGGGACTTTTGGAATGTGACGAAAGCATGATGGGCTAAAAGCGACGACTGTTACAAGGATGGCGGTTTGAGGCGCCGAAAACGATGACACTTACGAGGATGGCCCCATCCCTGTAACAGTGGACGCTTTTGAATCATAGCGGGGCGGGATGGGGGGCGCACCGTGAAAGCCTGGTTTGAAGCTTGGCTCAAGTTTGCTCACTTGCAGCCCCCAGGACCAGCGACTCACCATGCTCGAGGGTGCAGCCCCCCACCCCCGCCTGTGCAGTCTGAGACCCGGAACATGCTCGCATGCACGAACACGATTGATAACCAGACTGTTCTTTCACGGCAGCATCCCTTTGCTCTGGTCGCTGGTCCTTCAGTTCCGAGAAAGAGGCCAGCGCAAGTTCGCCAAGACCTGCCAACTTGAGGATTTCTTCTGACCATGAATGATGTCAGGGGCCTTTCGGACTGGGTGCAAGCTTGGCCCCAAGATGTTCATGATAGTTTCCCAAGAAGGCTGCAGGTCACACCTTCTCGGGCTTCCAAGATCTGGCGGATGTTCAGCGCAAGCCTGGCAAAGAGCCGGGGTCGATAAGCATCAGCGACTCAACGAATTTCGCAATGCAGCCATGCTGTCTGCTGATCTGAGCTGTTATGTGCGACATGCAGGCTCTTGTAAGACGTTGGAGGGCATCTACGCGTTGCGTTTATGCTGCAAGAAAACAGGCGAGGCTCTCCTTGCCAGATTCATGCTGCGAGCAGCAGCGCCCTTCTCCTGAACCACGCCTGCTCTGCACAGGGCTCCCAGGGAGCTTTGAAATGTTTGACTGCTGGCGTGCAGTTCCAGCATCTTCTTTACCAGATCATCAGCTGCGGAGCCGTTTCAGAATGCATGGTACTCCATGTTAATTATGAACAGCCTGCAGACCTCCTGCAGAGGCAAAGCTTTGAAAATGAGCGAGGCTACTTTGAAAACACTGCTCTCGCGAATTATCAAGTGGAGGACAGTACATATGGTGATGCTCCTGCACATCTTTTCTACTCTATGTGACTTCTATGTGCAATCACCCGGCTTATGCTAACGGTAGGGATGGTCACACTGGCAAACGCCAATTAAGATGCAAGCACAAAAAGAACACAATACAAACAAAGAAAAGCACAACGGCTGTTGCACCGACAGCACCATCAACATCATCAACATCAACGAAGCATCTGTAGCAGTACCACCACCACCGCTGCTGCCACCGACACCACCGCCACCACCACTGCCACTGCCATACCATCCACCATCCACCCCACCGCCGCCACCACCGCCACCGCCACCGCCACACGTGCCACCACCCCTCCACCAGCAGCAAAGCAGCTGTAGCAGCCCACCGTAACAGCAACCATGAGGGAACAGCAACAACGATAGCAATAGCAGATCCAAGAGCAGCAAAGGTAGAAGATCAGCTCCAAAGACTTTCTCAGGTAAGATATACGCTTACAAGCCTAGCTACATTGCCTACATAAGTATGCACAATCAAGGTGGACAGCGAGGCTGATCCGACCTCGAGCTTCCTTCTCAAGCTGGTAGGCCTCTGTCTTCTTGAACTCATCCCTTCGGACAGGTGACAAAGTGGGGTCGCACTCCTGACTCACGCTTTGAACCTACGACGAGGGACAGTCTGAGGTTGTGGCATCTGCCGTCGACGTGTCTCCCGATTCGGGATCAGCGACTGAACGGCCCAGGGCAGCTTCACCACTCAAGCTTCAAGGGTTGCACTTTAAAGGTCCGTAAAGGAATAGGTGAATAGGTCCACTCATAAAACAAGAAGGGCGCTTGATAATCATTCGAAGTTGCCACCTGAGAGGTACAGCCTACATGCAGCATGCTTGCCTTTACGCGGTCGCGAGTCATGGGTGTCCTTGGCGGATGGCGGAAGTGATCATGCGCTGCCCTTGCAGCACTTTCATCGACTATCATCACTGCTCCTGTTCCTTGACTGCCATGCCCATCGTGTGCTGGTAATTGCTGGTGCTTAAGGGGAAGGGGGAAGCAGATCTCTAAATTGATTTCCTAAACCTTCCCTGCCATCACAAAGTACTTAACTAGATTCACTCTTGTGCTCGCCGTCCAGAGCCGGAAAGAGCATTATACTTTTTCTGCAGGCGCAGGATACCCCTTTCAAAACAAGTCAAAGGAGCAGCTTGCGCGGCTGGAACAAGAAGATGTTGTAGAGGGCATTTCTCCTGGCACTTGGGGCTTGCCAAAAAATTGGGGGGTACAGTACCTTATTGGAGACCCTGTAGTACGGAGTGTCTTCTGGGCACTGCTTATGGAATCCCCTGCTTGGATTACTGAGTGTGCCAAAGGCCAACTTCCGTGTCCTAGGGTCATAACAAATTCCATATCCCTGCAACTAAGGCGACACCTAGGCCTAAACCCTAAACGGGGTAAACCTCCAGGTTTCTGCGGCGGCGACTTCTTTAGCGTGCACGCGAGTCACAACGCGAGTCACGAAACACTGGCAAGCGTGCGACTCTTGGGACATCGTGAAACTATGGGGCTATGGGGCTTCCAGAATCCTGAGATGGTGGGGGGGAGGGTCAGGTCGTCGGTCTGCGCAAGCGCAGTGCTTGGGATAGTAAGATTCTAGTTAGCAAAAAACGATTGGAAGTGGACGATATCCCTCGCTTATACGAAGGAGGCTTTTCCGCTTCGCAGGCGCGGCGGTTTTAGGAAGATGTGCCTAATCTAACCCTAAATCCCTGAAGCCTAAAGACTCCAAACCGTAAAAACAATAAAGCGAAGAAAAACAAAAAAAAACACCTAAATCCTTTAAACCCGAAACCCTAAAACCAAAAAAAACAATTAAGCACTAGAACCCTAAACCCTAAAAACCACCTCACAAGCCTAACCCCTAAACATGTTAAACCCTAAAACGCCATAAACCCGAAAAACCCTGAAACCTAAAAAACCCTTAGACGCCTAAACCGTAAAAAGCAAACCCTAAAAAGCAACTAACCATTAAAAAGAAACAAAACCCTGGAAAGCCCGAAACCTTAACAACTCTAAACCCCAAAAAGCCCTGAACCATAAACCCTAAAACATCCCAGCCCAAAAAATCTAGGCCCCAAAAGCCCCGAACACCCTCAACCAAAAAACCTAAACCTAAAGACTGTAAAGTCTAACAGCCCTAAACCCGACAAACCCCTAACTAAACCCTAACAACCCTAAACCCTGAAAACGCCTAACCCTAAAAAACCTAAACGTCCTAAACCTTAAAATCCTATTAAAAAAAGAAAAAACGAATCCCTCAAAACCCTAAATCACCAAATCTGGATTTCTGGAAATTGCGGCAAGCTAGGGGTGTGGGGGACCTGAAGCCCTAGATCCTCGGGATGGCAGGTAGGAAACAAACGGCGGAAAGGGCAGGTGCCATAAGCCTTTCGTACAGACCCGTGGAGGCCTAATCTTCGACATCATCTTCAAGAAGACCTGGTAGCCCTGCAAGCCACACGCAGCTGAGCTTAGAAGTGCATCTTCGAGCTCAAAATTCACAAGTGCTTGGACCCGGCCTTTGCATGCTCAACACATGTGCACAGCAATCACTCATCCTGCAGGTCTCAGCCAGTGCATGCAAGACAGCTGCACCTCCAGCTTGTACTCGGTCAGCGGGTTCTTCTGGCCTAGGACAGCCAGCCGCACCCCATAAGCCCGGGCTTTTAAATGTCAATCCTCTCCACGAAACAGCTATTTACGTCGCTCAACGCTACTTTCCCATGAGATGCAGGTAAACCTCACGAGTTAGTGAGGCACAGAGCCCCTGAAGCGCCACAGACATGCGCACAAAGGCAAGCAGAGCGTCCGCACACATGTGCCACTTACATTGGAACATGGTGTTAACTCCGTGACCTACCTTGATGAAGTTCTTCCATGTGTCTCTTTGCTCTAAAGTAGTTCTGAAGTAGTTCTGATATGTCTTGAACCACAAGGCTAACATGAAGTCTGCACCCCTCCCCCCCGCACAAAGGGCCGAGCCATAGGCTCGCAACGTGACACCAGTCCTGATCACCAGCTTGCTGGACTCTCATCTGGCTAGGTCAGCGAGGTGGAAGTTTGGAGTGACATCTCTGATGCATCTAGAATCTAGGGACGCTGTCACGTGTCGAGCGCGGGAGCAAGATGGACATCGGATTGACCGAGAGCCGGGCTTCATGAAGTCCATGTTCTTCAGGTGCTGTTGCCAAAACTGGTCCAGCCTGACTGTTGATTTGTCAAAGACTGCAAACCGTGCCTTGACCGAAGCCGAGGGCTTCTAAGATTGGCTACAGCGGCCATATGCCAGGTCATCAACATGATCGTTCTTCGCTCTTGACTCCTCGTTTCTGCCATGATTGGCCAGTGACGCCCTGCTACATGGCGGGTCCTCAAATTGGCCCTTGTGAAAAACCACCTTCGCCATGCTTAAGCCCTCAAGTTCCACCATCTGTGAGCCGTCAGCATCTGTCGGCTCTATGCTTTGAGGAGAATACAATTTGCCATACGCAACCTACAGGTAAATCTTAGTTCGCGAGGCCTCTGCATACTGAATCAGAACGCCCCGAATCCCGAAGAAAGCAGCGACTAGCCTAGAAAACAGCTCGCGGCTGCTGAGTTCAAATGTACTCTCTGCTGCGGGGCAGCTGGGCCGTGGCAAACATGGGTCAAAGCCAGCCCAACAGTATCCAAAGGGTATATTATAGTAAATTCTAATATATTCTGGGTATATTATACTAGATTGCAGGTGAACTGCTGGGTGGGGCCTAAGGTGCAGGCTGCATCAGGAGCACTTGCCGTGTCACCATGGCCGTCAGTCCCGGCCTTAGGAGCGCAGACCCAGGGTTTCTCTTCCTTCAAAGCTGTCACATGTGTCTGGGGCCCTGGAGCCCTCTTGTGGGGTAGGGTAAGCGAGGTTTTCATGGAGCAGTCCACGTCCGAAAGAAACAGGCCATTGTCAAGTGTGTGAGTGCATTCTAAAACAAAGATACGCACGTGTCATGGCACCAAGACTTATGGTTTAGGGTTTAGGAGTCCACTAATCCAGTTTCGAGACACATGTCCAAATGCAACGGCTGGATCCCTGAATCCAGGATCCAATCCGGACAAATCCGGAACATGAGGCTCTCCAAAATTCACCTCAACGTGGAAAAGGATGCATTCTTACCCACTAACCTGTATCACAAAAACTCGCATGGGCCTAGGGCTTAGGGTCTAGGGTGTCCCGGATGCTGTCAGTGGCCACCACCAACAATCTTGACTGTCTGAGCGCATGGTCTGACACGCCTGATCCATGCATGCAACGTGAGGGAGATGACTGATTTCCACAGTTCCAAAGGACGAAGCTTTTCGAAGGCTCTGCATGACTTGGAAGGTCTAACCAATGATGATCGCAGCAAAGCTACATCATGTCCAACTGATTCTGAAATCGGGCATTTGGGAATTGAGGCCCTGCTGCACTGAGATCAGCACCCAGTAGACTCAATCACCTCCAGCTTCTGGTTGAAGGCTTTCTGCCTGGATGTGTCAAACCACATCAGAAACTCCCTGTCAAAAGTTGTAACCTCTGGGCCCCAGGCGCTTCACCCTGCAAAAAGGCAGTCACAGCGGCTGCCTTGGCTCTCTGGGCTCTGGCATGCTGCCTGTTTCCTAATTGCGGTGCTGCGGTACTTTGCCAGGGAAGGGGCCAAAGTCATTAGAATATGATTTCGGAGCATGGTCTGGCCTACTAATCATACTACAATTACGACGATCAGGGTGCAATTTGTGTACAAAACTCTGGGACACATACTTCAACTGGATTGCTGTCGCAGCCAGTGACCCGTACCACTAGCCTAATGCTGAGGTCCTGTTCCTTAGTGATGCTCTAGGTTTCTTGGAAGGGGGGAACGGATCCCTACACACATCCATCTAGATACACATGCAAAAACAAGCATCCAGTCTGTGACTTGGGCGCCTCTCACCACCACACATGTCTAAGTCTAACATCCCCCAAGTTAACTATAAAATCCACCAAAACTGACAATAAAGTCCAAAAAAATATCTAGAAAATCTCCCAAATTTTCCGACTGCTCGGTCATGCTAAGGCCATCTCGCCAGCTGGGCCGCCGCTGCCAGCCTTCTCCTTCAGCATGTCGGGCCTGGTAGATTCATACGAGCCCTAGTAGAAACTCCTAGCAGCACCCTGACTCACCTCTATAGCAGTTCCCTATATGATGCCCTATATAATCCCCCTCCGAGCGAGCTGCCCATGAAGCCCTTGAGTTGCATTCTACTCGTGTGTAAGACATGAGGGATCTACAGAAATCCTGCCGCTTTTTAAGTAGGAGATGCACCAAAGGCCTGTACACACACCGCAGGCGAGACATCTGCAAAATAAGTCCATGTAGATCACGGTAGTACACCGCAAGAATGCTTACTTTGCCACGGCTTTGCTCAATGATCATAGCCAGTGACCAAGAGGTCATCGGCAATTGCCTTATGGTCAGCGCCTGTCGTTTCCTAGCATCCTCAGGCGCCCCTCAAGGACACATGGCATGCTTAAACTGACTGTACAGCAGCTTCCTCGCTGCGCTGTG